GCTAGAAAAAAGAGTTATATGTGAAACTATTGTCACGGTTGGCATTGACAGTTTGTCCCCTAGTAAGTTCCCAAATTGATGAACTTCCGAACGAATTGCAGATGACGCATACTTTTTGTTGTATGAAGGTGCATAGATCACCTCTGGTACTGAAATTAAAAGGTATCAGAATTTAGGTTGCGGAATTCAAATTTTTTGTTCTTCAATTTGGAGGAGGAACTTCGAACAACAAGTATACTATTACAAACAGTAGGTGTAGTCTTGTTCGTATCACAAGGTAAAAATTAAAATCTGAATTAGAAGTAATGAAGAACTAGAAGTATAAAAAATTACATAAAAACAAGTAATTGAACAAAATACAAGAAACAAACTTTAAAAAAAAGCATTATATATTTCAAAGATAATAGATCCTACACCACGAATTCTGTTGTTCCTTCCGGTGCAATTTGATAAATTATGCTAACACAGACATAAACAACTAACGACAAACAAATGAACATCCTAATTGTTCAAGTATTCCATTCAATTCCTCCCTCATTCCCTCTTCTCTAAACGAAGCTTTTCTCTTATAGTTTACTCTTATTCAAACACGCAACTCAAATTGAAGACAACGCAGGTAAGAAAATACCACTTAGCTCGCCTTCTCTATCTTCTTGTTCTTCCCCATTGTTGTCGCCTGCGAATACAAGAACGTCCCGAACACCGCAATAGCTGATCCCAAAGCATTCAACGGCCTTATCGGATTCCTAAACACAATCAACGACGCAACAATCACCACCACCCTCTTCATCGTATTCCCCACCGAAAAGGTCAAAGGACTAATCTTATCCAATGCCTGATACGATGACTGATTGTACAAATGATAAAACACCCCCGACAACAAAACCCAGCTGTAAAATCTCCAAGGACTGCTTGACAACTCGACCGCCCTCTGAAATCCCCCAACCCACTGCTTCCCTTCGACGAGAACGGCCACGGGGAACAAATAAACAAGACTCATTATTGATATCCAACCGTATAAATTCAACCCATTGATGTGTTTGAAATTATAAAGGCTCTGCTTCGAGTAAATGTTCCGAAGAACAAAACCCACATTGCTGATTAGAGCTCCCCAAAGCCCTTGTGCATTGAAGGTAACCTCAGTTATAACAGCAAGGGAGCACCCGAACACAATGGGGAGAACTGAGAACCAGACATGAATTGGGTAATGTTGGCCAAAAAACGCGGAGAAAATAACCGAAAATACGGGCTCAGAGGCTTTGATGACGTGGGTAAATGAGACCGCAACTTTAGAGAATGAAACGCAAGCCGAAATATGCCCGATCGTGTGGAACAATGCAGGGACTAGGAGGGCGAGGAAGAACTTCTTGTTGACTCTCGGGTACGGCTGGATTCGGGCAATCCATAGAAACGCCATCCACAGAGACCCAACAAAGAGCTGGAACGAAGCAAGCAGCCACGGGTAAGGGAAGAGGTTGAGGGCCTTCTTGTTGTAGATGTTGAAGATCACGTTTTGAAAGTACCAGAGGCCAAAAACTAGAGCCAGCTGCGGTTTGGAGCCCGAGGCCGAGCTTTCGACCGCCTTGGGCTCGCCGGAATCGTCGTCATCTCTGTCATCGTCGTCTTCGTCTTCGTTTCCTTCGGGGTTCTCAACGGGGTCATCTTCGGGCTCTACCGATCTGGGCTGGATAGGCTCGCCGGGGTTTGAGTTGGGTAAGCGTGCAGGTGACTGAAAGCGGGCGGGTCTGTGGATTGGGGGCGAGAATGGTGGAAGAGAGTGTAAAGAAAGCATCTTTGAGCTCAGAGGAAGGAGGTGGGTGAACTGGGAACAGAAAGGAGACGCCTTTATAATAGTCAAAAAAGAAAAAAAAAGAAAAAAATCTCTCTGCAACTCTGATGGAGAACAATAATTAGAGGAATAATTGATGGGTTTGTTATAATAGAGAGAGAGAGGGGATCGAATTTGGAGAAGAAAACGAAAACGATGAACGAGAGGGATTGGATGATGAAGAAATTATATGGGATTTAATTATGGCCACGAGCGTCGACGGAATCCAAGCGGGATCGAGATGTTCTCTTTCTGAAATATTTTTATCTGCATCTGATTCGGATCTCGAGTTCATGGAGCTTTTTTTATTAGAGTTGAGCAAGGTGCTCGTTTTATCGTTTTGGGAGAAAGATGGGTTTCGGGTCCTTCTGAAAGCGGGTTGAACCCGATGCGGGCACCAAAACTGTAACTTGCTGGGAGACCCGGTGTCCGTTACCCCCAAGTTTTCGCCTATAGTTTTGGTCGCCCGGTCGCCCCCACACGTGGACGGCTACCTCAGAATAAATCGCCGTTTGGGAGTCCGACGATCCCGATTCCGATCGCCACGAGCCGGAGGTCAACCTGCAGCAGGAGGATTAAACTTAGTTCTCCGATTCTCTTAGTTAATCGCATTTGACGGTTGATTCTCCCATCTTGGGTCTTTGGGCCGTTCATCGCAGCAGAGATAACAACAGAGGTTAGAGGCACTGGAGGTTGTTTTCTCTGGCGTGTCCTCCGACGCTCTAGTCGGTGAACGTTTCTAGTTAATCTGAAGAGAAAAGTGGAATATAGTCTTGTTGACTTTTTATGTGTAAAATTGAGTACCTTGGATTGATGGAAATCTCCATTATTTATAAAGGGTTTACGGGGGCACATAAGTAATTTTGGTCAAGTGCGTGCATAATTGGTTCAGACCTTGCTTTACATGCGTCGGTGGCTGATTGGCCGGGTCGCCTTTGCACAGTGATGAGATTGCTGGAGTAATGGCGTGTCCGAGAAGTTTTGAAGGCTCTGGCTCAAAAGGTCATAATAACTGACGTCGCATTAATTGCTTGATAGCGGCTGGGCGGCGAAGTGCGGGCACTGACTGTACCTTCTGTTGATGTCCGTGAACACACAGTCGAAGAGGATCTTTCGTTGGTGACGATGGTTGGGAGGATAAGAGATGGGGCTGACTCCTCCTCCGACACTACGCCCGATTCTGAGAGCGCGGGGTGGAGTGATAACCTGCACATGTAAGAATCGCAGGAGTACGGGGCTAATTTTCCCCGTGGTACCTCCGACGGTCAAGTCAGCCGGTGAGCTTGAGAAGGGTTTATTGAGAGGTCCCTGGGCCATTGAGGTCCTTACAAGGGGTTCCTCCTATGGAGTTATTAAATTTTCTCCTTATTGTTTGTTAGAAATTTACAGTAAAAAGACAATGAAAGAAAAATTTGACTTGTATTCCTCTCAAAATCAATTACAATTTGGATTCCGATTACAAAAGAGAGGAGAATGAATTAGATTCTCCCCTTTGTTTAAAACTGGGTTCTTCTTGGTGGCGATGAGATGCCTCCCTCGAATGCTCGCGTCGAGTTTGCTTCTCGTTGACGATCCGCACGTCTTGATTCACTGGAACGTGATTTTCTCCTCACGATTTAACGCTGTGGAGAACTTGCGTGGCAAGTTTGAAAATAACTCTTAACGAGTTGATAACTCTGAACGAGTTTTAGAAGAACTTGCAGAGCAAGTTTTGAACCCTGATCGAGTTGATAACTCTGGACGAGTTTGAACTCTTGAAAAAGAGTTGATTTGAACCGAAAGTCGGTTATAAGCCAAGGTTGAATAAGCTCTTGTTGCAGATCTCCCGAGCTCCAGAAAATGCTCTAAAGATCTCCTCTGGTGCTGCCAAGTCCCAGATCCAAAATATGCCAGCCTTTTGACCGAATCTCCCTTTGTTGATGAGAAAAAATTCGATCCCTCAACTCAATTGAGTTTCTGGTATTTATAGGGGATTAAGGGTGGTAACTACCCCCTTAATCCGCTCTTACGTGGGGCGAAAATCCCTCAAATTGTGGGGGAAAAACAGTTCCTGGAACTGTTCGTTGCGTGCTTTGAACGAGTCAAACGCTGAAAAATAGCGTTCAGGGCCCGAACTCTGCGTTTTTAGACTAAAAACGCAGAGTTGGGCCTATTTTGGTGGCTGAACGCACAGGCCGCGCAGCGTGATGAACTCTGAGACGCAGAGTTGGGATGTTTTAGGCTGAAAACGCACAGGTCGCACTGTGCATAGATGAACTGTGCGTTTTTGTTGTTGGACGCAGAGTTAGGTTTTGCATTAACTGTGCGTCTCTGGACTTGGGACGCAGAGTTGAACTCTACATTAACTGTGCGTCTCTGGATCTGGGACGCAGAGTTAGGCTGTGCGTTTTTGTTGTTGGACGCAGAGTTAGGTTTTGCATTAACTGTGCGTCTCTGGACTTGGGACGCAGAGTTGAACTCTACATTAACTGTGCGTCTCTGGATCTGGGACGCAGAGTTGAACTCTACATTAACTGTGCGTCTCTGGATCTGGGACGCAGAGTTATGCTGTGCGTTTTTGTTGTTGGATGCAGAGTTAAACTCTGTGTTTTAAGTCCACAACCTCTGCGTTTTGTGGTTATAACGCTGGTTCCACCTGTGCGTTTTGACTCTGTAATGCAGAGGCGAACCTTAGGCGGGCTTGGCGAGCTTCGAGCTATGTCCAATGTTCTGTTGCAGATGGACTTCAGAACATAATTTGCTATGAAGAACAGGTCATAACTTTCAAACCGTACGTCGGAATTGGACGAATTATATATGAAAATTGGCTATCTCGACGAGGCGGATCCATCCGAGCTAAGCCAAAGGCTTCGGTTCGCTTTCTCCATTTTGCCAAATTTCTTACGGGTTGAGAGATATATGCGTTTTAATATGAAGAGACCGTCAATTTGTAGTCTCTTTTGCTAGAGCGTTGCAAAGATCGTCACCTTGTAACCTTCGTCTTGGCTCTTTAAAAATATGAGAGTCGTCAGATTCACGTCTTGGTTTGAAGAGATCGTCGATTTGTAATCCTTTCTGTCAGAGTATTGCTAAAGACTGTCGTTTTGTAATCTTTGCTTTAACTCTTTGACATGTGAAAATCTTCGAATTGTAGCCTTCTGGAAGTCTTCAGATTATAACTTCCATCATCGGTGTTTGATGGGGGATCAACTATCTATTGTGATTTTTAGACAGCCTACAGAACCCCCTCCAAAGTTTTCGAAAGTTCGCGGTTGACTGGGACGAATTTTCGGAATACTTTGGATCTCAACTCTGATCTTGGAGCTGTTGATTCCTTGTCACAAAGGAGTTGTTCTCTGCACTCGCTTCGAAGGCAGCTTGGTTGAAGGGATTTTCCATGCAGGACCTGTGTGAAGGTATGCGCCATAATCCTGCTTCTGGAATGTGGGGGTGGACCCTGCATTTTGAACTTGAGATGCGGGTTTCACCGTTGCATGTTGAATTTGGAACACAGGTGTGACCTCGGCGTTTGGTTTTTT